CCTTTCAAGTCATACTCGTGGTCTTAGTGCCACATGGACTGTGTGGTGGGGTAAATTGGAAACATTTTAAGACATACTCCGAGTTGACAAAAGGACACTTGGCCGAAAAATACTCAAACAGCCAAATTGAATATGATTTAATTATTTACGGAATATTCTAGTGTTCACTAATGGCAGGCTGAAAGGTTGTTTATGTCTGCTTTGAAGGGAATTTCATATTTGTAGAAAACTTTATCCCAAAAGTTATAAAACCAAACCATAGGACGAGCTTCAGAAAGTTACTGAAAGATTTTCCAAAAATCTACGCTTATTTGCTTTACCAAATGCCATGTGAAGTGCAGTGCAGTGAAGTGCAGTTGTTGAGCGTTACCTTGAGTCCCATCATCGGGTAAAACTCATTAACGCACGTTCGTTCCACACAAAAACTACAAAACTATTCAAAAAGTTTTGTTTAGCAAGACATTAGCTGGAAATAAGCAAATAAAATGAGGTGGGGGGGAAACCCACTTCACATCGCTGTGCACTTTGTGAAAAGTTATTTTCCTTTGGACTGAAAACGGGGCACCAACTTTTCACTTTGCACAAGTGTTTTGTTTTTTCAGAGTTTTCCTTGGAAAATACCCAGAAATAGTTCGGGGGGTATTTGACATCTGGACAAGACCAACATGTTAACAAATTTACTTAGCTATGCTCATTGGAGGCTGACAAATTCGTGGAGCCTAAATTAGAGAGGAAGAAACAGAAGCGGCTGGTGGTACGTATCTGTTGTGCCTCAAGTGTATGACTCCCCAAATTTTATGCTTGCCACGTTTCACGCATAAACCGAGCAACTTTACGACTTTCTCGACCGCAAAGGAGGCACGCGCACAATTTGTCAATCAATAAATTTGCTATAATTAATGCTGCTTATTGGCATTTCATACACTTATCACACTGCCGCATATCCGTACGGCCACCACATCTATCTATATGTACAGTATTTATATGTCTAAGTCATGGCTTTTGCTTTTTTTATTTGCAGTTACAAAATTTGTACGCATTGGTATTGCCGACAAAAACGATTCACCACCATATTTCGATAGATTTCTGTACGAGACTGAAATCGATGAGAATGCCGATTTGCAGAGCACAGTCCTCACTGTCAACGCCAAGGATCACAATGAGTGTGAGTAATCAAAATCAAACATTCAGAAAGAGTAATTATTATTCGAGCTGACGAAAGATTAATCAATATGCCCCACATTCCCTCCCGAAAGTATTCAATGTCCCACATCCTGCCAAAAAATTATCCTTCATCAAGACAAAAGAATAAACTCTTCATTGCGTCTCTGTGTGTATTTGTTATTTAATGTTCAATTTTCCTTTCGTCTCAAATTGGATTTCTGCTTCAGCTCCGCTCACAAAATACTTGCGTAATCGAGCGATGCCGAGGAGAATATATTGCATAAATTGGCAATTGATTTAATTAAGTGTGTCTTTAATTGTAATTGTCGGGGCTGTACTAGCCATGAGGGAGCAGAGGATTTGCATTGCAAAGATATTAAGATGTAGACACAGATGCTCTGTTGAACAGTAAAGAAGAAGGCGAACATTAAACGCAAAGGATTGTAGCTATAAAAGAAAGGAGACTATAATGTGCAATATAAGACTTAATAATTAAGATTCAGAGCTTAGAAGGATTACTCTTACGCTTAAGAGAATTTTTAGAATAATTACGAAAGCAAAACAAAAAGGTTAAACTTTAAAGGATAAAATTATTGATATTAAGAAAATACTTAAATATGTATTTAATCACTTAAGATTCATTTTAAATACACAGTAATGTACTATTTATACAAAATAAAAATTCTGAACATTTTATTGAAAAGTTTTACTTATTACCAGATCTAGATTCTATTGTAATTAGTCTGTATGCAAAGTTGATGATTCAGAAGAAAAACTAATGAAAATCTGACTCACCAGACATTGTAGGATAATTAAACAGCTCAATGTGTACGTCATTGATTTAAGCTAAAATCAAGCTTTATTAAAAGCACATTAACCAAATTCACTTTAAAAGACCGAACAAACTCTAGAAGTTAGTATCTGCAAGCCATTTCTGAACACATTTTTATGGAGACCTTTTGTATTAGTGGAATTAAAGGATTTTTGTATTCAAGCAACTTTAAATATTTACATGGCTCTTCGTAGCGGACAGAACCTAAAGAAAATGCACAAATTAATAGGAAATTGGTACACATTAAGCTCATTTAATTGTAAAAGAAATTCGTGTTGAGCGTTGGTTGCAACAAAAGCATGCCTGAAGTGATGATTCCGCATTCCAAGTATAACCAAAACAAGGGGAATTCCTAACACATAACTTTAATAGCAATCATTTTGGGAGTGAAATTACTATTGACCCACAAAAAACTCAAGCAATTGGATTGATGTGAGAGGGTGAGAGAAATACAATATAAAAAGTGTGTTGTCAGTGAAAGCTAAATGAAATTCTAGTCGAAACAAAAGATTATCATGGAATGATAGTGAAAAAATCCGTAAACGTTTAAGATTTCACCTTGGATCGAATCGAATTGAACTGTCATTTCCTCACCTCACATCAGAGAAGAGCAATAATAAAGTCATCTGGGGACAAATGCTTACATGATTTCTCGCAAATCATATCGCAGCGACATTTTGCTGTAATTTTCAAGGCAGTATAAGTATGTACATATATGGCCTAGAACTTCCTTCCTTCCAGAAAGGAAGAAAAAAAAAACACGAAAAATTATGCGAAGAGATGCCATAAACATTTAGAAAAAACCAATTTGGCAATTTCCCCCATGGGTACCCGCCCTCCCACATGAATGTACTTATTTATATGCATAAATATTAAAGCAACTCTGGTATATTTCTCCATAAACATTTATTTATTTTAATACTCTTCTGGATTATTATTAGGCCTGGGCCATGTACCGCAAATATTTACGAAATATTAACAAATAAAGGCTCGTCTCATTGAAGATAGAAAACGAGATACAAGATACAAACCCATGCATAAATCCATAAAATACAAAGACAAACACAAATGGAAACCAAGTGAGCATCTAATATGCGTATTTGTATATTTGTCTATTGATTCCCATGCGGAAATTATTATTGTTAATACGATGGGGAATCGGGAGAAAGGATGGCGGCAAAACTATGGAGGGAGAACACTCTCCGTATCTGTGGAAAATACGATTTGCAGCATGAAAAACATTCAAAATCTCATTGAAAGCATTTAACAACTTTGTAACCCTCCAAAGGGAGACCACGCTGTGGCTTTTTTGGGGGCTAGAACTTTGTCTTCCCAGCCCCCATAACAGCCACAGCAACAGCTCCAAAGAACTAAAGACAAGGGAAAAAGACCGGAATCCTTATTGTCGCCGTCGCGACGACTGCGAAAAAAGCATTAACCCGAATTGGAGGAAAAAAAATAAGAACAGCAGGAACACACAGTCGTGGCACAGAAATGGCCATGGAAACAATAATATGCCATAGAGAAGGAATACGGAGGAGAAAAGTTGAGTTGAGAGCGCCAGCAAACGGAAAAATAAATGTGCACACGAAAATTTTTGAACTACTCGCAGCAGGAAAAGCGAATACATAGAAGAAGGCTTTTCGTACCCCCAGCCAAATTCGTGAGGAATACTCGTATACTCGTATGAATTGAAGGCTGTGGCCCGACTGGGTGGGGGGGGTCATGACAAATCTTTAATGTGATTTCTTGTTAGCATGTTTGCGTCTACTTTCGAAATACTCATACGAAAGGAGCTGTAAAACTTTGTTGCTGCTGCTGCTACTGCTGCGTACCACATTCCAAATTTATGAGCGAAAAGATTATTTATTGGAGTGTGTTCCTATACTCTGCTTCCTATTCGGTGGCTGCCATGTGTTGGCCAAATGTTACCCCATTTTTGATTAAATAGAAATGGAGTGTACAAGTTATTCTATAATGAAAGTCCTTATACGGAGCTTGTGGGAGTTTCAATCATTCGAGGGGTATGAATATAAAAATGAGTCATGTGATGAATCAATGTGAAACGTGGAGAATGAGAATCACTCCTACATATGTATATGTAACGATTATAATCGTTTCCAGCGTCTATTAAGACAAAGCTACTACCTTTTCTAGTCACTAATATTTTATAAAAAAACTTACTTGTTCCTTTAAAAAATATATTCTTTAAGAAACTTTTTTTAAATCACCACGCGGCTTATCTAAAAACAAAATAAAACCCAACAACCTTTCAGTGCGTGCCATAAAAACACTTAGGGGCTGTCGTCCTCCAACAGAATCCTAAAAAGATCAAAACAAGACTAAAAAGCAAATGTTTTTTTCTACTTTTTAAAATGACTTTTCATGCTAAATAAGTACGTATTCGCAGGCAGCACAAAATACAAGGCACTGGGGGGTAGCCCAGCGAGAACCTTGTGGCGTTTCGATGGGGTGGATGTGGAAGAATGTTTACTGCCTTGCGCGGCTGTTCCCATGTGTGGCTCGTGTGTCTCTAGGGTGTTGGCTGGGGCACGGTACCCGGACCCGGACCCTGGTGTCTGTATATTAATTTATTATCATTATCAGTGATTTAAAAATGGCGTCATGACTTCGTAAATTATAAACGTCATTGTCTAAGACTGGGGACCACTTAACACGACTTTGCCGGAGCTACACTTAATGTCCATGTTGTTGCTTTTGCTGCCAACCAATGGGCGGAAAGAGACTCGAGGCAGCAAAGCGCACCATGTGGCACATTGCTTAAACTAGAGAATATTTTATGGCATATCTTTAAGACATTAACTGAAAACGTACACTGCTTGAAAGGGGGTTAAGGCAGATCATCAGCAGCCTGGCGGCATTCAACCTGATGATAGCATCATTCACGAAACATCAATCTCAATTTCATGTTCGACCTTTCGGTCTTTTGAAATCAAAGTAGGCTTAAAATAAGACGACAAAATATATTCTGAATGTCATATAAAATTCAGTAGCCCTGTAAAACTTGAAGGCGTCACACCAAAAAAATATCTACAACAAAAAAGAATTTTAAAGAAGCTTGAACCAAAATAAATTCTTAAAATGTCTTGCTTAACCCTTAAACGCTCTCGTCGCTTTGAGGATGAATCGCCAGATAAATATTCCCTTAAGCGAACTCGAAAGCTCAGAAAATGCCATGGAATAGCCAAGCGGTCGCAGGCCATGGATGTGGAAGTTGCAGACATCTATCCCGCAAAGCGACAGTGCAAATATGCTCTCGAAACCAACGCAGAAAAAGTAAGACTTCTGTGAGAAAGGTTTCCAAGGTTTTCCTTAAAAATTCGATACATTTTTCTTAGCTTATCCCTCATCAGAGTCCACCGAAGGAGGACTCCTCCAATCAAAAGGAACCAATACTTTTTACATTCAATCAATTGCAGGCCATGTGCTCTAACATGATCAATCAAAATGAAAAGGAGCTCAGGGACTATTACGAGTGGCAGCTGACCGAACATATGACTGCACAATATGACATTTTCATTAAGTTCACACACGATCAAATGCAAGGAGGAGGTTTAGTAAAAAATTCAAGCTATCTCTCATAAAAAATGTTAAATATATTAATGTTAAAGTTTTGTTCAAGAGTTAAAATAATTAATGTTAAAATAAAATTAAATTTCACTACCCTGAAGAACTTTTCAATCTACTTAAGAGCTAAGTTCTGTAGCCAAATGTAGGACAACAGGATACAATCCTTTAATCTTCTAATCCTCTTGCTATTCCTGTTCCAGTTAGAATTACTCCCGTCCCTTAACTTTATCTAGTGAAGCAGGTTAAGCGATTTACGCGTCGCTAATTTACGCTAATGTTTGCTCTTTCACATTTCCGCATAAATGCACAGACAATGTGGCAACACCATGCGCGGCCCCATTTTCCTGTCTCTCCTCCTCGTTTTTCCCACTACTGCTCCGTCTGGGTTGTCACATGTGCGAGCATTTCCATATTCTCCCCAGTGTGGTTCTGACAACACTTTTGCAGGCTGTTTAAACATTGAATAAGTAAATTATATGCCATGTACGAGCACCAGTACGTATGTTGTTCTTCTACTGCGAACGACATCCATGACATGCCACGCCCACTCACCCAGACACACAGTTCTGGCAGCATTAGGGGGCATGTCTCTCCTTCTGGTTGAAAAATGTTTTTTAATGAACTTAATTATTTTCTGCCGCCTGCTGCTGCCTGCCTGCCTGCCTGCTGTTGCCTGTTTCTTTGCCAGTCTTTTGCCGTCTTTGACTTCTTTGGCCTCTTTTCTGATCTTTGGGGAAGTTTCTTTTCGTGAAATCTGTGGTGTAATCTGTTGAGGCGTGTGATAGGTGGTTACCTGCGCGTACTTGTGGATGGAAGTGTTCTAATTTGTGACTGCTGATACCTAAGGGAATTCTAATGGAGTGTGCACAAGTAATGAAAATATTATGTTTCCATTGTGGGAGTATACATAAGAATAACTCAACATTTGTGGCGTCTGCATTTAAGTTATTAAAAATAGAAAAAACGTGCTTCCATTTTTCGAATATTACTAAAAGCCTTTTCAGCCTCGCTTTTAATATATTTATTCCAAAAGAGGATATACCGCCCATCGTGCATTGCCTTAACCCTTTTACATTTACTCTTTGAGCTCTTAATCAAATTTAATTGAACACTTTTGTGCGTCAGCTACTCTTAATACACCAACTTAATTAGTCCGGTGAGTGGAAAAATTAATTTAAATATTCTTCGTACCTTTTACAGCGACGAATATTCGATACCAGATCACAGGCGGTAACATAGGCAATGCCTTTGCCGTACAAAACACGACCGGTGTCATCTACGTGGCGAGTCCCTTGGACTACGAAACGCGGCCAAGGGTAAGTACTATGCCATATACCATGCACGTAGATTCTCTAGGACTCTCCCTACCTCTTAGCTGGTGACAAGCTACGACTAGGCTAAGGCCCTTGTCTACAAGTTGCTGCACATTTTTCTTTTCCCTCACTCATACGCATACGGGGGTTTTTTTTTTTTGTGCTAGGTCTTAACTTTCTGTTGCATGCATAATTTATATATTTTTCCGCTCTAGTGATTCTACGCAAAGAACACAAAAAATATGTAAAACTATGCGAAACTTTTCTTCTATTTTTTTTTGGGCACACAAAACTTTTGACAGATGAACAGCGGGGAAAGCAAAAAAAGGCAGACGGGTGGCTACAAAAAATTAATCCAAAAAAATAAAGGAAAATTCGCTTACATGCTGGAAAACATTGGAAGCAGGGCAGGCAGCAGGAGGCAGGGAGAGACAGCTACAGCTGTCGTTACATTTCCCAATGCGCATTTTTAACGTGATTGCCCCGACTCCCAGTCATCACCTACGCAACTTGTTTTGGCTTTGGCAGCAGCAGCCTCCACACGAACCCCTCCAGAAAAGTTCTGGGTAAATCCGTGTAGCTGTCAATGCCCAGCCATGCAACAAGCAGCCACACTGCTGCCAACGTTTGCCACCGTGCCACCAGCCGGAGAGCAGCAGCGAAAACAACAAGCCACAGCACACAGAACATGTGTTGCCAATTTTGTAGATTTTTTTGTTTTGTTTTATCCTTTGCAAAAAAGTTTTAGTGTCCATTCATGCGATTTTGGCTTTTGTTGTTTAAATTGAGCCTCGACAGCGGAGGCAGCAGATTCAGCGGCAGCGGCAGCAGCAGCAGCAACGGTGTCAGAGTCAGTGGCAGCTGCACTACCATCAACAGCAGCTACATTAAAAACGTTTGGGCAATATAAATATCTTTAGCTAATGGCTGTGCTGCGTTTTAAAAACTTTCCTTATTTATCCACAAATAAATTAAATTTCACAAATTAAAGTGGCAGTTTTCAAAATGTTTTTGTTTTGCCAGATTGGGATAGGAATAAGAGCGATAAAATATTGAAAAGTGTTCAGTGATCATATCATAATTGTCTATATTTCTGTCATTTTTATTTGGTCTTGAATCACAATTTTCTTTTTATTAAAATCGTATTACTATTTTATTATTTTTAAGATCCTTAATATAATTCTCATTTCTTCTTGTTCACAGTTTGAACTGCGTTTGGAGGCCACGAGAAATCGCAAAAACAACTACACCACCGTTGTGATAAATGTACGCGATGTCAACGATAATCCACCGGTATTCGATCGTCAAACATATCGAACACAAATCACAGAAGAAGACGATCGGAATCTGCCAAAACGCATATTGCAGGTTAGTCTGAATAGATTATTTTGAACAACAAATTTTTGCATAGGCACATTTATATATTTATTTCTAAATTTTTCTTATTTTATTTTATTTTATTTTATTTTATATAAATATAAAACGTTTTTCGATGATTAACCGATAAATTGAATACTTATTATATTTCAATTCATATTTATACCTACAAAAATATTAAAGGCAAATGCTCTTCAGCGAGGTTGAAGACATTCAACAAGTTTTTGTTTTTGATCCTAAACTATCGATAGTATTATCAATAATTTCGTTAGCGGATACCCATCCCTAATTTAACCCGTAAACTCAATCAAAAGTTCTGGTACACTTTCCAGGGCAAGTGTTCTGGGCCAACATTTATCGCCTTATTGGCTCACAACAATTTAAATATTGACAGAAACAGCAAGAACAGCAGAACAGCAGACCAACGGAACAACAGAAGAGCAGAACAGCAGAAGAAGAGCTGAAAAAAAGTACACACAATACGCAGTAATTTGCATAAAAAGCCAAAAACTTAAAAAAGAAAAAAAAGCAGAATGAAAAACCGAAAACAAACATCATGCAGCCAGCCAGTCAGCCAGTCAGTGCTCAAGTGGCACCCAACAAGGCCCCCAGAACTCTGGTAATGTCTGGTGGCAGCATGGGGCAGCATTATGGGGAGAGGTAAAGTTCACTATTCGAGTGGTGGAGCCGTTCAGCCGTAAATACAAATAAATACTCATTCATTAATAACAACGTGATAGTTGGGCAATGGCTGCCATATAAGCACAAATACCTACATAAATACATCATACATACATTTATATACATATATGTATGTAAGCATGAAAATCTGCATATATGTATATAAATACGAATATGAACAGTAATACATATACAATATATATACAGTATGTGTGTAATGCATGTAGATATATCTCTGAACAAGCGACTTTTATTCAAGCCATAACTTACAAACATAAAGAACGGAGGAGCAGAGGAACAGACTGAAACATGTTTACGGCTCCATAAACATTTAAATACTCTTTAACGAATGCATTAAAGAAATTGCCTTTTACTTGGCACTGTATGAGCACAAATATGTGACAATGTTCTATATCTAAACGATAAACATCAAATGGATTAGCTTTATGGCTTAGCATTAGAATGATTTGATCAAACTGAAGCTTTATTTTGGCAGTTCTGTTTATTATTTTGTTTTTTATTTGATTTTCATTTTCGCTACAGACTTTAACGTATTTCTTCTTATTAAATTAACGAGTGTCAAAATATCTCCTGCTTGTTATCATGCCACTTGTATCTAGCATCGAAATTTTCTCAAATATGCTTTCCCTTTCAACAGCAAAAACTCTTTTATAGAGCATTTCCTTGTCGCCAAGATGTAACATTTTACTTCCTTCTTTTTCCTTATTTTTTATTAAATTTTAAATACAAATTAAAATTGCACAGCTCAGCACGCGAGCCCTGAGCTGTTTCCAGAGCTTTCTGTAGCCATTGCACAACGACCACCAGTGCGAATTTTTAATTACACATTTATGTATATGGCGAGAAAAGTGTTGCAGAGACAGCTGCAGGAGGATCCCAATGCTGGGATCCCCATTGTCATCGTACACCCAATAATTGACGAATATTTTCATATATATATATGTATGTACATAGAATCCGGAAGAGGCGGGGGCGAACACACTTTTGCTGGCTCCGACACCTTTTCGGTGCTCAAATTGATTTCGGTGCTTGGAAAATGGAATGCAAATATTTTAATGTTGAACGTTGCTGCACGAGAAAAAGGCATTTAAATTATGCACAGAAATGGTTTGCCGAGACGATGCCACGGGAGGGGCAGGAAAGTCTGAAAGTTGTTGAAAGGACAATGGCAGGACGAAGGCTCGTTTCCGCCTCCAACGAGCGGGCAATAATAATGGGCACAATGATGGCACGTAGACAACTCTTTTGTCATATCAAATTGTGTTCAACATTTAACGTAAATTGTCGCATTGTGAACGGGAATGGCGAATGGAAATGGTGGGAGAGCGGAAGCGTACAGGGACTGGGCGGCTGGCTGGGCGGAATGGGAGGCACTTAACACGTGACGATGATATAATGGACCAAGGACCCAAAGGATATTGCTACAAGTTTGTCTGTAATTGTCAACTGCAACTCCATGTACGAGCAGGAGGCTCTTTTTTTTTTAAATGGTCCGGTGGTTGGTTTCGTTGTGAAAAATGTATAATAGAAATGGGTTACAGGACTCATGCATAACTTTGTTTCCATTACACTTACATCACCGTTACTTCAGAGCTGCAGAATGGACACATAAAAGTACAGCAGATACAAGGAAATAATTGCTTTTAATTGGCATGACAACTGTTTGAGTAGGAGGGCGCCTAGTGTTTGCCTG